GATATTTTCGGTAGAAGGTCAACTATAGGCACTGGAGTCCACATATTTAGTACCTAGGGGCTTGAACAGTTTTGGTTCGACTTCTACAATTTTTTGTCACAAGTTGGCATACTTTAAACGCATTATTACCCCGGTACAATCATTTTCGCTTGATTTGCATAGTGGAAATGGAAAGAATCAGATGGAATTGAAAATGGTGTTATATGGGAAATAAGCGTTGGTTGTAGTCCTATTTCGCCCATTTTCGCACTATAACATAGAAATATGAAAAAAACGTTATGCACCGAATTTGGTTGAAATCGGTTAAGCAGATCCCAAGATATGGGCTTTCACCTAAAAGTGGGCTGTGCCACGCCTACTGTCTAATTTTGAACGCGGTTCCTATAAAGTCATCTCATACCATCCCAGAGATAAAATTTAATGTCTTTGGCGTGTTTAGTGCTTGATTTATCGCGCATTTAGTAGTTTTTAACAGTACCGTTATATGTGGAGTGGGCGGAGTTGCCAGCCGATTTCAACTATTTTCACACTGTCAATAGAAGTGCTAAAAGCATTTGCTTCCAGTGAATTTTGTTATTTTAGCATTAGCAGTTTCGGAGATATGCACATTAAACCTATTAGAGGCGGGACCATGCCCACTTTAAAAAATCTTAACTGCAGGTGCCCCTCCCTAATGTGATTATGTGTACCAAATAACAGTCTCGTATCTTATTGCGGAGCTTAGTTAGTACAATTTATTTGTTTTTGGCGGTGGTCCGATTGCGCCCATCTGCAATACCAACCGTCTCACGGTACCAAGAAACATGTCTACCAAGTTTCATAAAGATATCCCAATTTTTACTCAAGTTACAGCTTTCACGGACGGACAGACGGATGGATGGACAGACAGTCACCCGGATTTCAACTCGTCTCTTCATCCTGATCATTTATATATATATAACCCTATATCTACCTCGATTAGTTTTAGGTGATACAAACAACCGTTAGGTGAACAAAACTATTATACTCTGTAGCAACAGGTTGCGAGAGTTTAAAAAGTTCAGGGTATAAAAAATTACCATTTTATACTAAAGAACTATTTGATATAAAAAGCCGGTTGCTTTTGCGAATGATCAACGAAGTAGTTGCCATATTGGTACATTCTCTGCGAGTGGTTGAGCAATTTTAAGTAATAAAAATTTGGGAATTGGTAAATCGAACTGACAATTGTGATAAATCCTGTAAACTAGTATAATCTAATGAAGGCAGAAAAGCAGCGTTGATATCACTTTAATGAAGTATCCGCTTGGTCTCTTTACTGAATTTAACTGGATTACTTAGTTGCTGCTTTCACGTGTAAAAATTTTGACAAGAGAACATAGTTTCCGGCTCAACAAGCTAACAAATACTGAAATGACTGACGGCCATTATTTCTTTCACTAACAAAGTACTTGATGAGCTCTGCATGGAATTGAACTTCTTCGGTTTTTGAGAAAGGCAAGATGCCTAATGTACAGAAAGAGTCAAATACTCGTAAAATAGCAGTCAGTTAAAGATAAATCGTCTTATGTTACTTAAAACAAATTGAGTGTTTCCACCCCAAGAAAACTGTTAGAACATACCTTACATATACATAGTAACGTAGTAATAATGAGAGGCTTTTTTCGGCATTATTTCATTTGGTTTCAAGACCTAAACATGTAGAAATAAACTTGTAATAAAAATCGACTCAAAAGTTACATTTGACATTACATTCGATATTAAAATAATAGTTTGAATTGGTTAAAATTTCAGTCGCCAATCAACAATCTTGACAATCAAGTCTAAGTATTCGGAACATACATAATTAGGCTAATGTTTTATGTCCCTCGATAAATAACGAAGAAGTCATCAGAGCGTCATTTGGCAACCTATAAAAATAATTGCGACCTTCACTTTCTTAATTTCGAAAACTTACTTATATATCGCGAACATTCTGACTCATTCTGATTTCAGTACTTCTACTTTCCGAAGCCTCGAAAGAATCATTTTGAATCTTGTTGTCAAGATGGAGGATGATTTTGATAGATACCTACTTACTATATATCGACAGGTATAGTGAGTATCTTAGCTGGGGTCCCACGCTCACTTAGCATGTATCTCTATCATCTAAAAATTACTTAAATGAGAGGGTAAATTAAAAATATTCTAAAGATTCTTAAAAATTGTTATTTTTTTTAGATAGAAACCAATCTGTATCTACTGATTAAATTTTGATTAAGGACTGCGAATGACTTTTCGAATATAAACAATTAAGCGAAGTTTTGAGAAATATTTTTTATTTATTTATGTTTTCTAATTTGATTTTTAATGTTTCTTAAAAAAATGTAATTCATGTCAGGTTAAACGTTTTCTTTGTCATCAGCCGGAACCTTATCTTGTAACGAAAACAATGTGAGTCACTGCTCTTCAAAAGGCGACAGTGTACTTTAATCAATCAATTATGGATTGATCACTTTAGTGCGTTTATGATAGCAGCCCCGATTTGGTTCCATGCTCACTGAAAACTTGATCTATTAATGTAATAAGCAACGAAGAGGCACATCTATTGTTAATGTTAAAAGCTCGGTCTGAATATGCATCACGAAGGCGGTCCGATAAGTACTTAGTCTCAATTTAGCGCAATACACTTGAACCGTGATGGTCCAACTTTTTTAACCCTTCTGAAAAAAACATTTTGGAGGTTTACAAAGTAAGAGATCCCTGTAATTCTTTTGTAGGCGATGTAAATAAATTGTTGTGTGTGAAGAAAATGATGATCAACACCTTTCTGGCCGATAAGATAGTATCCGGCTTTTCAGTCTGTCCACTATTTAGATCGGTACTTGTTCTTGATCTCTAGTATATAATATATAGCGAATTCACGTTTCGTCCTCGATCATTTTCGATTCGTAATCATTACAATCATTACAATTTCGTAATTCGCTTAAACAGTGTAAAATACTGCTTTGAAATATTCTTACCGTGAGAAAACGCTGCATCCATCGCGTCTGCAGCTTTTTCATGTCCGATATGACGCATTGGGTGTTTGGAGATGCCTACTACTTCGGCTATTTCGTGCCATTGAATCGACTGTCTGACATTACTAGATCGTTGGTTTTTGTTACATTATTCTCCGTCCTATCCGTTTTTCTGGCAACTGGGTCGGGCCCATAAAAAACGGACAAGCGGAGAAGAGCTACAGTAAACCCCCATATGCTTTCTGCATTCAATGTGCGATTTATCGTACCACCTTCGTATTTATACGTCACTCATGAGCGCTCATTAACTGATAATATGTTCATTAGGAATGCTCTGGACAAAACCAGGAAATTAAGATCAAAACCTTCTAAATCTAAGTCGTTTCATAAGAATTAATAACATACAATGAACGCTACAGATTTAAGTCATCTTCGAAAGGATGACTAATTTTATAAGGAGCTTTTTCATTGCAGAAATATATTGGCGTATTTGCCATTGATTTCTGAGTCCTAACCAGACGGTAGAAAAATGATAGTTAGGTGTAGAGTGGCTACCTAACGACGTACTTATGTAGGACCGAGACTAAAATCCACTCTCTCTATTATGTCTTCTCTGAACCACCCTGTGCTTTTGATGAAGTTCATCAGTACAAAAAGTTTTATCTGTGCAGCCTCTGAAACATAGTTAAGAAAACCTTGACAGATAGTTTTGATTCTTTTCCTATACAAAGATTTGCGTTCACATAGAAGATGTTTCATAGTTTTCTCTTTTTCTCTCACCTGACAACTTCTAAAATAGTCATTATATGGTGTTCATAGTTTGGTGGCATGTCTGCCAATTAGACAGTGACTTGTTAGCACTCCTACTAGATCTTATGTCATTCTTTTTGAATTTAAATAGTGGGCATGTGAGCTATATATTTCATTCTTGCCACGTTTGCTTGTTTGTTGAGCAAGTTAGGTATGACTCCACCGAGACTCAGCCATATTTATAACATGTTTGTCGATTAAGTGTCTACAAGTAGTTAGAGGCATATACATTACTTCTTTTCCGGAATCTAATTGTAGGGTGGTGCCTGCTCTGACTAGTCTGTCCGGGAACTAATTGCACGTTTATTGAAGTTAGATCCACTAAAAGATCAAGGCATTCTTTCACTAACTTTGATGAAACCCTAAAATAGTTTAGGGATTTCAAAGCCGTTTGGCTATCTGTGTATATAAATACATTCCTTGTTGTGAGCGCACTCTTTGTCAGAACAAAAGCACTTTCTTTAATTACTGTGATCTCCAGATGGAAGACACTACAGTGGTCTGGTAGACGGAAGGTGATTTTGGTATCTAATTTTGCTGAAAAGTCACCTGTTTATTGAGTTCGGACCCATTCGTATAGATGCTTATCCCTGTGTGCTGTGGGAAGGCAATATTTGAGTACAATTCTGTTGCTATTGGGTAGAAACGGAAACTTACTCTATCCTAGAATGCCTCATATTACAAACGACTAATAGGGGGATTCCCTCAGTCTATGAGCGGAATTCGCTAACAGTTGCGTACAGAACAAGTCTGTGGGCAGGCCTGGCTTGGTGTTGTCCAAAAACGGTTAGTATCTACAAATGACGAAATTATAATGTTCCAAAAATGCGTGTATAAAAACAGGGGGCTTAAATTTTTCAATTTTTGAATAGAAAAAAAAATTGTGCCCAAAAAAATTCAAAATAGGCGCACAAGTTTTCATTTCGTTTCGTAGGTTTAGGTCCACCCTAGTATATAAAAATGTGTGACATGCAGATGCTGTTACACGAAGCCATCTGAATTGCAATGATTTACTTGTATGGCCTTCGTTCTGTCACATCGTTGTTTCGCTTGTGACTTTTTATGTTGACGACGTCAAAGACTTGTACGCTTATCATTTCCAGCGGCTGCTCGTGGTCAGTTGAGAACATACATATGTATGTGGTATGTATGTATGTACTGTGTGTAAATAACACAAATCAATTGATTGTTTGTAAGGTGCATTGATTTACTTGTGCGCTTGTTTATACATATGTATGTACATATAAACATACAAAAATGTACATATGTGTATATGTATGTACAATACAAATATATCAATATGCTTATTAAAGAAATAAAATGCATTTCTATAAGAATCTTTATATAAGAAAATATATCAGTGCGAATACTTAATACGCTGCTTACCTACATATGCATACACATATATGGTACATGTATGGTATGCATGTAATTACAAGTATATATGGCAAGCAGATATTTATTCTACATACATAGCTTGTATTTTTTAAATTTGGTGCACTTCGCTGCTGCCCGCAACTCAAAAGCGATGTTTTCAGTACAAATTCGACACTTAACTGGTATAGTATGGGCGCAGTGGACCATCAGACGGACATTATGCTTTCCTTTAATTTCATACGAGGAATGCTGTTATTGTTTAACCTATTGCTTTGGGTGAGTAAGCAATTCAAACTCTTCCTATTCATAAAAAACTTTATAATTTTTGTAAATTCTCCAGTTTGCCGGTCTCTTGATAATCCTAACGGGCATTTGGTTGCAAACGGATTTTCAAAATTATTTGAAGATTAGTGGCGGTTACTCGATCTATGTGCCCTACCTGTTGCTCATCGTTGGCGGCATCTTGGTGTTCGCTGCTTCGTTGGCCTGCTCATGTATCGTGAAGGTGGATCCGACAATGTTGGTGATTGTAAGTACCTAGTAATCACTAATTTATATTTGTATTTTGTTGTTTTAAATTTTTTTTTATAATTTGTTATTATTAATTTTACAGTATGGCGGTTTCCTCATTGCTGCGATGTTCACTTTGATCCTAATGTCCATCTACCTATACGCTTATAAGGATAATGTGATAATTGGGTTACCGGATGGTATTGAACGAGAGGTTAACAACTATAGTGCTTTCAAAAATGATCCGTTTCTTGCGAATAATGCAACTCTCATCGATTACATACAAAATACTGTAAGTTTGTCTGAGTTAATATTGCAGTTATGGTGGTTACGGGGCACCAAAAAGACTAAATTTTTACAAGCATGTATGATAAATATGATATTTCGCGAAATCTCGAAGTTCGTATATTTAAATCACGAAAATTGTATAAAAACAAATCCTGAAAAACAGAAAACCTTAAACTGTAAAATTGAGAACAATTATTATTAGTGTTAATTGTTTAAATCTCGGGCACCGGACTATACAATTTTAGAATTTCGATATCGACATTAGCATTACAAAATACCGAAATCTCAAATTGGTTAAAGCTCTCAACTAATAGCGCGAATTTACGAAATTTATATATTGAAATCCCGAAATCCCGGAACTCTTAAAGAGTCTAATACTTAATGAGTATAATGTTTGTTAGTGTTAACTCTTTAAATCTGGATATTCCGACTGTGAAATTTTAGAAAACATGATAATCGATTACAATCGATCCACGAAAATCAGCAAGTGCATAATACTCTATAAGAATGATATTTATTGGTGCTAACCGTTTAAATCTCCAGATTACAATTGTTAATTTTTAATACCTACATAGAAATCCCGAAAATCTTAAAGTGCATAATAATCAATGAGTCTAATTTTTATTGGTGTTAACCGTATAAGTCTCTGGATCCCGATTGATTTTAGTATCTTGAAAACATGATATTCGATTACATATTTGTACCGCCGTATCTCGACATTTACATTCCAAAATCTAAAATCTCAAATTAATTAAAGCTCTCAACTGATAATAATCAAAGAGACTAATATTATTACTGAACTGAAATAAAAAAGGAAAACAACGTTAACTTTGCCTGCACTGAAGCTATGATACCCTTCACAGATGCATTTTTATAGCGAAAAAAGTAAAAACGATTTTAGTCGTTCAGTTTGAATGACAGCTTTAAGCTTTAGTGGTACGATCTGACCAATACGTTCAGAGATTGTAGCGATGCCTGAGGGCATAATACATGACAAATTTCATGAAGATAAATTGTCAAATTAAAAAAAATTTGAGTTTGATCGTAATCCGATCTGAACCATTTCTTTGGAGATTGTAGCAGTACCTTAGCTAATAATCGTGTTGAATTTCGTGAAGATACCTTGTCAAATTAAAAAGTTTTCCACACAGGGACTTGAGTTTGATCGATCAGTGTGTATGACAACTATATGCTATTGTTGTCCGATATCGGCGATTGTCGTTTTTTGCTGAGAAAAAGACGTGCGCAAAAATTCAATATCTCAAAAACATCCGTTGACATAGCTAAATCATAGCTGATCATTTATACTACGTTTTTAATAGAAGATCAGAGCTTAAATAAAGCGAAGAAATGGCGAATCAAAGACGTGAAATTTTTTATGAAACAGAATAAACTATTTTTATCTTGGAATATCATTTTTAGGTATTAAAGGAGTAGTACTTGTATAAATTATTTATATTCCGGGATCACTACAAAATTAATACTTAGAACTTCAAAGTCGTATGTATGGTATACATTTCTGAAATCGTTAATCTAGTTCTAGTTACCTCCATTTCGAAGTATTATTTGGTATTTTTTAGCGGGAAGGAGTTTTGCTCCGTTTCATAATAGCAGAAAGAATATTTATTGAATAAAATGTGCGGAAGCCTAATTAATTATGTTCAGCCACTTTGTACACGATTTACAAATACATATATAAATATTAATGAACCATATATCCCAAACATTCCTTTGATATTTGTAGATAATTAGCTTTCGTTATCACCTTCATTTTACGGTCACTCACATCATTATATAGATTCTTTTCTATGTTTTCGTGCGTCCCATTCTGTTCATCTTTCTCGATGCTCATATGGCTTGTACGAAGTTTAGCAAACTACTTCCGAATGGGTGCTTTGCCTAATGCGAAGAGCTCATTAAGTCATTTTGGCGCACGAAATTTTAATACATTTTTTCAAAGCATTAAAACTTGCGTTAAAGGAAATGATGTATCTAAAGGGAAGGCTATAATATGGGGGAAGTGTTACTTGTATATCTCACGAACAAATTGTGCGAAGATTGAATCACTTGTAGTGGCGCCTTCTCATAGGTATTACTGCCTTGCATATGTATGCAAATAAACATTTAATACAAAGGTTATTTTAAAACCATCAACTCCGCACTATCTTTCGAGTCGTAACTAAATATAACTACTTTCAGCAGGAGTTTTACCTTCATACTCGTATATATAAAGTTAGTTATCAGTGAAAAATAAATAAATAAATATGAAAGAAATAATATTCGGATGAGATAAGATCCCTGCATAAAGAAAGAAAATATGTTTACATAATGCGAAGTGATCCATACGAGTGGCCGCAACGCTGATAAACCAAGTTCGTAATATTAATCAGTTGTAGAAAAAACGAGAGAAAGATCTTCAACTTCCCGAATTCAATTTTTTCTCTTTTAAGAAATGTAAATATATATAGGCAATTCACAAGCTTCGTCTTCTTCTTATGTCGTATTTTAATAGCTTAAAAAATACGACACTTGTGACAACCATTAATTGTTGTAGGTCATATTATGTAATATTTCTACACTTTTTAACATTATGTATTGTACTATATGTACGATTATATCAAGATTAGACCAATGTTTAAGAAAACATATTCACCTAATTTAAGTAAAATACCACACTTTTTGACCAAAATTCACGGTTTAAAGTGAGGTGGAAATCGCTACATAGGGTATATTGCGGCTAGGAAAGGTCTAAATTGTTTGCATTACCTTTCGACATTACTCAGGTATATCAAGAACATATTTTTACGCTATTTTATAAATATAACTAACACACTGACCGATATTCAGCATGAGGTTTGCTAGAATCACAATTATTATATGAAGTTTTTGAGAACTAGGGGTAGTATTGACCCGTTTTAATACATTTTCAGCATTAAACTATAGTATATCCTATATTATATGTTCAACTAAATTTGCTAAGATGTCTTACATATTGACCGGTATGCAAACCGGAGGTTTGAAATTCTTATACGAGGTATAAGGGGCTAGGGGTAGTAATGATAGGCGGAGTATGGACCCGATTTCACCCAGTTTTAATAAATGCTAAATTGTTTTTAGAAAATACTATTCACCGAATTTCATTAGTATATCATATAGATTGACCAATATATTCGATCAAGAGTCTGCCATAGGCACTGGATTCCACATAGTATTCGGCCCTTCCGTATCGTCTCGAGTGTACAATTTTATTTACTAAGTTAACGCACTTTTAGTAGTTTTTTTATATTGTATCTTAGATGATTTCGTTTCTTTGATTTCATTATTCTTACATTTCAGCTTGAATGTTGTGGCGGCAAAAACCATCTGGATTGGCCGAAAGACTCGCTACCGAACTCGTGTTGCTGGAACAGGAGCGAAAACAAGAATTGTTCGGACTCTCAATTGGGACAACTGCATGAAGTGGTGAGTTGTAAAAAATTCTTCAAGTGAATGTTATTGACGACATGGATAGCGAACTAAACTCGAAGTAAATATTAGCTAAAGTTACCATAGCGTAGGTTGAACTGATTCGATTATATTTTTGCATTTTTTGAGTAGACTTGCCACCAAAAATGATAAGTTTATAATTTATTACAATATGAATATAAATCGATAAATCGTTTAATTATATTTCTTGATAGGGTTGTCACCATTTTTAATAGGTTATTTTTAATTAATAATTACATTATTGATAACAAGTATAAGTTATTTGACTAAGTTTTGATGTAAACAGTGATTTTTTTGAAACATGTGTTTCTCCAAACACCAAACAGTGACTTTTTGAGGATGCAACCAAAGCGTAGCGCGAATCGAACCATTATTTTGGTAATAAATTTTCACGATTTAAAAACGTTGTTCGAGAGTAAGTCTGTGCGTTATGAAACTTTTAACTAAACTGAGTCAATCAAGTAGCAGCTGTCAAACAGACCAGCTCCGAAAAAAGTATTATTCATTGAAAACCACAAGTTTCAAAAAATACTCGTTACAAATGTGTAATTTATAAAATATACTATATTCAAGCATGTTTATTTCAAATATTTTCTCGTTGTTTTCAGGGTTGCTTGCCTAAATTGATACGTCTTATTAACACAAATCTCACAAGCATTGGCGTAATGCTTTCGGTGTTGGCCTTATTTCCTCTCTTTGCCATGGTCTTTTCCTACTCACTAGCTTCGGCAAGCAGAAGGATTGGCTACCAACCAATCGCTTGAGTTCTGACGGCGATTTTGCTTGACAAATATTTTTGTAATATAAATTTCATGTATTTTCCTTTAATTTAAGTCTAAATAAAATATACACCCGAAATACACTATAAATTTAAATATGGCTTTTAATGGTAAATAAATATAATAAATAGCTTACAAACAAGCGTAACGCTAATGAAATAACATACATACAAACACCTACATAAGCAAATGTATCTGTGTCAAAAATTGTGAATCGGTAGTTTTCGTGTCAAAACGCAATTTAACACACCTCGAAAGCGTAAAAAATTATATACAAATATTACAAATACACAATAATACAAATACAATAATGAGTGGGAGGCGTACAACAAATAACTTATGCTAATTCTTTGCCGCATTACAGAGCAATGACAGATTGCCTTCGATGGCATTTAGGCGCGTCATCGAGAGGCTCTGTGTCTGTGGCGCATAGGTGGACTGCGTAGCGCAGGTGGCCGGAGGTAGCGTTTTCAGACTGTCATTGGAACGGAAGCCTGTAAATTAGCAAATAAATAAGTAACAATTTTATATACAAATGTCTATTGTGACTTAATAAAAGACCACCAACCTAATTTAAAGAGTATTGCATGCCATATGCGCTTTTTGAAGACGAATATGAAAAAGACGAAAACACCTAAGAGCACATTGAAGGAATCGCTAACGACCCAGAAGAACACTTTCTTGCGATCGTATAAAACGATGCTCAATATTTCCATAAACCACGTAATGCCCATAACAATGAACAGTTTCGTATTCATGGCAAAACGCGCCTTATCCACGAAGAAACGTCGTCGCATAATCGGTTTTTCGACATTTGAACTTTGCATGCGGAAAATTTCACGTTTCACGCGATTACAGTAGCGTAGCGTTAGCAGAAAGAGCACGAAGTTGAAAAGCGAGAGCACACCAATCGGTCCAGAGAAGAAGAGTAAATTTGCCGAAGCAAAAGTGCCATCTGCAATACCCATTTTTTTTTAATGAAGTGGGTAAGAGCGTAGCGCAATCGCTATACTTACAAGTGAACCAGCAGCGACCCTGCTTGAAGTTCGGACGTAAATTCTCGCTCAGCAAATGCGATTTGGCCAGCGACACTGTAATGGTCGTCATGAACGTGGGTAGCCCCCAACCATAGAGTGAGTAGAGTAAGAAGCGTCCCAAATCCTTTGTCTGGAAGCCACGTTTTTTTTTTGCGGATCTAAAAAGAAGAAAAAATAATTATTTACTCGTTTGAAGATTTGTGCGGGATATGTCTCGAATATTATGGAATCGTAGAGTTATTATAATATTAAAGTAATCTAACAAGAGAGAACAATAGTCAACTCGTTTATGGAAATTTCAAAAGATGGCTATTAATCTGGACTCATCCCGTGTACCCGGAACGGATATTTTGGAGATCTAATACCAGAACACTGATGCAGATTATCTCAACACTTATGTTATCAGGATATATACGGTTTCTAAGAACTCCAATCGTACAACTTTCAGAGACTAAGCTTTTGCTGTTTTACATTACTTCGGTTTTCTTTAGAATCGGCACCACATTTATACTCGTATGTTCTTATGTACATATATCAAATTGTTTGTCTATCACCGCCCATCGCATCTCTAGAAATATCTGTGTAACCTGTGACGGGTTCCAATCATACATTCTCACTCGGTTTGAATATTAGCTTTGACGTTTTAATTCTTCAGTTCATGAAGGAATTTGTGCGAATATTTCAGGTCAGGTGTGATTTTTCAAACGATTGGGAAATTTTATTCTGTAGAGAATAAGTTTCATCGGATGGAGCTGTGAGAAGATGTCGACTTTCTTCATCTGCGCCGGGGAGTATGCTTCAAAATTTCCAAATGACTGTTTTCAAACTGAGAATAAATGTGGCGAAAACGCTACCAAAAAAACAATATTTAGCAATAGCAGCTTTTTATATTCCCCAAAACGTTTCAGTCCCCCCATGTTCTCTCTGAACCACCATATGGTCTTGATGAAGTTCATCCAGAGAACGTAAATGGACGTTCTTTGGTTCATCAATCCGAAAAGTTTTATATGTGCAACTCCCGAGACATTGTCAAGAAAACCTAAATAGTTAGGGGTTACGAAACGCTAATCCAGTGGTTACGAATTCCGGAAGTGAGGGAGAATGAAGACAAAAGTACAAAAGCTGAAGTAAACATCTTGTGACAATATGAAAGCAAACCACTTAGGAACTCCCCTTCCATTCATTAAAAGTCACAGCTTGATAAGTAATTTTAATACTAACGACTTACATGAGCAAACGAAAGCTATTATAACAGCAGCAATATATCATGAAGTACCGTAATAAACGGTGGTTAATTACCGGAGCACAATAAATATCCCTGTGTGTTTGCATAGTCAAATATACATTACTCTTCCTTCCGAATACTTTGTAGCTACTTAGCGAAGCGTACAAACTTTATTACCTAAACATATGTAGGTGTGTATGTATGTACAAGTATATATGTGTTGGCTATTGGCTCATATGGTGCTGCGCCCAAAATCCATCGCTCTTTTTCTAATAATCTTTATCAAATAATTATTGTAATTTTATGAATTATTGTCTGGTCAATATTTGCTATGCTTACATTGGGGTTTAACGATCGAATATTTACATACAGACATCTACTCATATGAATTTAATAGCCTCCTAAATATGTACACTCGACAGCTGGATACTTTGTGCACATATTTTCGGTACTAAATGATTAATTGTTTGAATGTGACTACTGCTCCCAAATTGAGTGGCATTGGTGGCGAAAACAACTGGCAACTAATGGTTTGTCAAGCGTGTGGTGAATAAAATTATGGCTTTTTTTGGCATTAAAATATTAATTTTATCACACAGTAAAATATTGTATATATATTTATTTGCCATGATTATTTCATATTTTCATGTTTTTATGTTATAGTTTCCTATGCAAAGAAAAAACAATAAAAATACACATACATTACGAAATATTATGCTTGGATAAATTATTTGCCCAACAGATGCTTAGGTTAGGTTAGATGACCACCCATACTATTCTTATAACAAAGTGGCTCAATGTCATTGATAACGAAGATCTGGTATAAGATCAAAGCGTGTAAGGATTTCCAAATGTTCAGACATGTATTCATTGAGAAACCGGGATGCTCCGAGTCTGATAGTAGCTTTCGCGAGCGCTCCCTTTCTGGCGATATCTGTAGGCACTATATGCAAAATGGCATTAGGTGCCATGGTTGGAGTGAATTTTAGTGCACCACACACGCTGATGGACGCTCTCAAGTTTCCTTGCAAAGTAGAGGGCCCTAGACTCCAACACCCAGGGGCTCCATTGAACATAATTGGGTTGACTAAAGTGTCGTAGAGCCAGAAGAACACTTTTGGTGAGTGACCCCATGTTGACTTTTTAACTAGTTAAACAGTTTGGCTCAAAAAGTGGAGTCCGGGGTCCTGGCAAATTTCCTGCCCTTTTTTTTGGATCTAGCTTATATATTTATCTAACTAATTTTTGTAAATAGAATCTCACGTCAATCTGCATATGTACGCTCTCAATACTACCCAGCTCTTGGAAATTACATCTGTCCAATAGTCAACCTTAAATAAATATTGGAATACTCACGCCTTCATTTTTATATAGAGCTCTAAATATAATATGTCTATTATGCTTACCACAGATAAAAAAATATATCACCTGTACCGTAAGAGATATTTCCAGAAATACGCTAAAATAGTATTTAATTGGAACATATGATCTAATAGGGCTATTACTTGGATTTAATGTGCTAAGAGGAGGTGTAAAAGTAGTCTCTAATAATAGCAAAAATTGTGTTAAAGACGTTCTTGTAGGTATACGTATTCTACAAGTAGGTGTTTTTCAGATCTTTTTACCGAAATGTTTTATTAAAATTTGAGCAACTGAGGCAGTTTGTGTAAATTTAACAGTCAATAACTGTAAAGGGGTTTTGGAGAACGCTACCGCAGTTCTAGTCCTTGGTCGGACAATATAATATTATGCTCCGCTTAAATTGAACCGATTATCGTCGGAACGAAAGTGATGATTTAATTGTCGCTTATGTAGCGACGGCCCATTGCTGAGTATTCTCAAAACTCTACATCTTTTTTCCTAATACAAGTATATAAATACATTGCTTTCTGGGTATAAATTCTATGAATAAACCTCTTATTAAAATTAATTACCAAAAATTCGAAAGGTCAGGTGCTGATAACCCAGTCGATCCATCTTATTAAAATATCGAAAAAGTCTTTCTTAGTAGTGATCACCCTACAGATCATGATAATAATCATTCGAATGTATAGTTCAGAGGTGTCTTAAAACCCTCCGAGTGTATTAGTGAAAAAAGCTCTGGAAACTTAACCCTTCGGAGGTCTCCTAAAACTTAAGATCCCACAAAAACAAATAACCAAAACTTTTGATCGAAAATCTAGCAAAAAAGTAGTCATCATACACGAGTGCTTGTATATCTTTAGTTGCAGGGAATCGTCTGACGGAAAAATTTAAAAAAATATTTTAATAAATTAGTTCTGCAATTATAATGCAATAATATTGCTTTCAGATATAAATACATAATAGCATAAATATATACATATGTATATATGTATATACATATATATAAATACTGTTATCTATTGTTAGCTTCACTTTCAATTGTATTATTTGCACTTATCAACTTCAAAGCTATGTCAATAGGAACCGAATTGAGTGCAATTAACGGTAAATTACAGCGAACACTCACCCAAACGTCTGCCATATATCGAAGCACATCACATTCATCCAGGCAAATGCAGCCATGAGGCAAAAGTATATGAAATAGCCTAAAAAGATTAAAAAAGAACAATGCAAAAATTATGCACTTTGTATTTACTGTTAATTAGAATTCACATTTGCAACATAAAATATCCATTTTATTATTGCACTAATACGTATTTCTATACACACATTATATACTCATGTTCCACTCACCGGAGGCGAAGCACATATTATCGTTGTTGATGGGTATGAGTTGACCCAATGCAATGCCCAAATAAGCCGCAAATAAATTACTCACTAAACAGATTAAAATTTTTCCCGGCAAATTG